TTTGTTCTTCAAAAAGTAACGCTCTGCTGAGTTTTGTTACCTCCTATAAATGTATCAAAATGCGTTTATATGTTGCGTTCAAATACTAATGAACGACTATTTTGCGTTATTTTAGATTTCTATATTATTCGGGAACGATAAGCCGTGGATACCAACTTCGAGAAATATGAAACTTTTGTAGCGTGATCTTATAATATTTAATATATTTTTATAAAGATTGTCGTATCGATATTTTTGTTTTAATTTTGATTGGACGAACGTTGTTGCCGCGAAGAAAATATTATTTCCCCTTTTCGGCGCTGTTCCCACAACCACAGGAAATTTGTTTTAAAGCTAAAACAAAACTAAATATTAATTGCAAGTAACGAGTAACGTGTAACGTGATTGGATAGTTGATACAATACTATAGTATTAAAATAACTTTAGTCTTTAGACTATTAGAAGAGTGATGCATAGATTTATGGAGGAAATACAGAGGGCTTAACCTGAACGTAGGTTCTAGTTTGCTGCTCTTTACTAGGAGGGGGAGGGGGGGGGGGAGGGCGACAGAGATGAAAAGGAAGAATGAGGTAAAATTGTCCATGACCGGGGTTCAGTGTTTACTGGTCCACACATATCTCCAGGTATTTACCGAGTGGACGACAAATTCGTGCTAGAAAGGAATGTTGCTAAAGCCTTCGTGGTCCTTATGAACTGGTCCACTGTGTCCCAGGCTCAGAAAACTTTGAACATGCAGAAAAGCCTCGAGTCGATCCTCATTAAACTTCGTCGTAGCACTTGACGTTCCTCGTTGAACTGACGGCCTTCACATAAGATGTGTTCAATAGAACTTTAGACATAACATTTGGTGCAATGTGCGGCGTCTGTCCTTCCAATCCAGCCAAGGAACTGCGGATGAATGTTACGCTCTGGTACAGTCGGTGCTGAACAGTCCCCAATTTTCTAGGAAGTCCAGATGGAACGGGGAATTTAAGTTGAAGGTCCAGAGATTATAGCCTGGGGTGGTGGTAGTTCGCATACGTTCAGTATTCCAGTGATATTGCTTTTGCTAAGCTGTAAACCTGAGCGCTCGTGTCACATCTGGAGTATGGTATACATTTTTTTTGTTGCCTCTGTTAGCTGATTTTGCGGTACTATCTCCTGCCTCTTTTCCGGCGGCAGCACAGTGACCTGGTATCCGCTGAAGATATATTTGATGACCCTTTTGGTGTGCTTCGTGGCAGAAACAACAGATCTGGTAAACCATCAGTTCATACGCGTTGTATTTCATATGTGACTTAATATTTATATGCCGGCCTTGAGTCACTGAATATCGTCCAGCGTCGTGGTGCTTGGGAGATGATGTATCGTATTTCCTCTCGATTGGCTGTCGATTCGGACGCAGTTGATATTGTTTTGTGCCCGACCTTGAGGCTGATGGAATGGCTGTGGGTAGGTACTGCAATTCCAACTTGGCTCATTGCACGGTCCAAAAAAATATCCCGAGACGCGAAAGAAGGTTCAATTGCTGCGCTTCTGTTCCAACCCATGCGTTTGCTTCCCCTCACAAATATTGTAGAATGTCTCGAATGGACGCCAGCTTTTCTATTGTAATATTTGTTTTTCTATTTGTGCTGTTCCCGTGCGTTCGCGATTGTCGCCTTGAATTAATCTCTGTAGAGGGGTGTTCCTTCAGCTGGAAGCGATGCTTCATGGGAAAAATTTCGCTTTTCAACGAACATGAATGCAGACAAAGCCTAGACTTGCTGCAGGGATTATGTGCACGGAGCTACGCCGTGGTGGGCTCGAAAACTACTGCCACTCATCCCAGCGCGCCGCTACAGAGTGCAGTTTCTCCACGAACCGGTAGTTTATTTTAAAAGCAAAATAAATAAATTTTTATCGATTTTACGTACCATCCCCCGCGTTAATGGTAAATTCCAATTTCTTCATATACGTAGTTTCTGTCATATTTCTAGACTGTTCAGTCCTCCCCCAGGGCCGCAATCGCTCTCGCGGAGAGGACAATATGATATCGCAGACGACAGTCACATTTGCCGTACGATATAAGCTACGGTTCAGACCAGCGTTGCAACATGACTATCCGCAGGTCAATCGATTGCATCGTAAAACTCTTTAATGTAAAGCATAATGTCAACCTGCGACACCCCGCCCCATCCGACGACGGCCCAACCTGCGGCATCAACGCCCAATAGTCTACGTGATCGCACCTTGCATGCTGTTAAATCAACGATACGCTAACACATGGTACACGCTCGCATCGGCGACAATTAGACTGCGCTCACAAGTCACGACACTGCCAGCACGATGCTGCTGCTATGTTGCTGACACGCGGAAATGCAAAACCTGGTTGATGGTCGGTTGGCACTCGGCATCAGGAAACAGAGCCGAATGCAGCACGGAAGATGCGCAGGCACCCGGCAGCAAAACCTTCCTGTTTTGAAAGCAGTTTCCGCGTTTTTCATAACGCATAACGCGCATAACGCCGTCAACGTCGCCATGTCGTTCCGGATGGTTCCGCAATCCGGAAATGGCCAGCTCGCTCCAGTTTACGTAGCGCTGCTCACTGCTCCGGAATTTCGCAGTTTAATTCTAACGATTTCGTTTGCTCGCTAGGCAAGATTAGCGTTAAAAACGTCAATGCAACCAAAATGTTCTGCATGTTTCAGCTGGGAAACGGAATGACCGGCGCGCTTTGCTGCCGATGAAGCTCAATTAACTAAGCGAAGTTCATTAAACAACGTGCGCTACGTGCTGGAAAAGCGAAAATGAAAGAAGATGATTCGGGAGTGCGACATCTTTCTCCCGTCTGCGTTGAGAAGGAGAAAACCGTCTCGTTCCTCCCTTCTTGTCCTCTCAGTCTGGGGGCGCGTGTCCGTAGAAGAAACGTAAACGCGCCGTTGCTACCCTTTTCCTTCTCCTCTTCTTAGAGTGCAGGTTCGATTCCAGCGGGCGGCGGGCAATTTTTTTCAAGCACTTAGCAACATCTGCGACGGACGCCCTTCATTACCAATTTCATCTGCAACTACTACCAAAACATGAACAGCGGACGTCATTTCCAGTGCTTGGAAGAGGCCACAACAGCTACCGTTCTAAAATGTGATGAATTTCACCCAGCTGCATTTGCTCTGAGCAAGGCGTCAGAACAGCACTTTTTGCGCCATGCGTAAAGCCAACGAGCATCAGGAGACGAAGTTCCTCGGTTGTTCGTCGCATATTCGCTAAGTGGAGTCCAAACGGAAGCCGAATATTTTAAAAGTTAATAATTAAATTTTAAAATGTCACTTTTTTTTATTCACATATTACAGTTTGTAGTATGAAGTTAGCCGCAGTTGATAAAGTTATTCCTAAAAAATAATGTTCTTACTTCAAGCTTTCTTTTGAACGCGCCGCATTTATTGCACTGGAGCATGCAGTCGTCACTCGTTTGGAGGGCTCCGGTTTGGACGGGGCTGGTTTCGTGGGGTCGTGACGCGGTTCCCACCTTGCTCTTTCATTACGTTAGTTCGCTCGTTACGTCCACATTATCTCTTATGGAAGAGGGAAATAGTCTTTTCCCGCTCTTCGAAGGACGCGCCGTTGTTGACGCGACAACGGACGAAGGATGTGAGAATGGCAAACCGAAGCGCACCGACGACGCGGTCTGCACGAAACCGCTCACAACAAGGAGGAAAGGTTGGCTCTTCGAAGGCAAGAGTATGCGGACCGTAGGCAGCAATCGATGGAAGATGTGATAGCTGCATACGACACCATCAAACTCTGGAAGAACAGATTGGCTATCTGGAGACATGCACGGGCTCGATGACATGATATGTGCTTGCACGATGGAGAAGAGGGGTTGCGACACAACTCGTCAAAAAAAAGCTGAAAAAAAAAGCTTGCGAGGTTGCAATTTTTATTCTTTTCTGAGTGGGAATCCCGGCGCTACATGCTAGTGTATATTTTCGAGAATCAGCGTGACAACTGCAGCAGGTTTGGCATAAATCTTGTTTGAACGTTTTTTTTTTTTTTTTGTGAACTTCAGGATTTTTTTAAACATGGTGTCCTATTTTGCCCTACTGGTTGCCTTGTTTCGGCACGAGGAGCTGGACAGTCTTAAACATCTTTATGACTTTTAGTTATCAGTGAATGTACTGTAGTTCTACTAAATCGAGTACAGCCATTTTTATTGTGCTCAATGCCATGACGCAAAAACAATTTGTCTACGACTTTTTTCACTTAGCTATAAAGAAACAACCTCGCTCGGTTAGCAAGTTGTTTGTCTATTGTGCGTGTTTCAGAATTAATTTTATCACGCTCTGCAGTGAGGCTTTCGCACTTACTCAAATCCAGCCTTCCCTGACTTAGTTCTCACATGAATGAACTCATAAAAAATGAATGCAACAGAAAATGGTTTTCTTCAAAGCCTGGCGGTTGTTTCTCACGTCTGCAAAAAGCTAGGCTTTCACGATAGGACGAATTCTATTTTTAATAACTATAGTACGCGCAGTCTGCATACTGCCTCTTCTTCGCTTAATAGCTCAGCTAATGCGCTTAAAAAAAACAGATGTGACCGTTATGATTACGTCGTACACACGACCTACTTAAACGGCAGTCCAATCTTGAAAATTGAATGTTCACTTACTTTCCACTTCACCGTTTTTAAGCCGGGGTTGCACTGCTTATACACCGTACAAAAGACAGTCTGCATACAAATTCGAACAGAAGTAACCGCGAGATCTGTGCTTCGTGTATCGTATGACAACGAGTTCAAGAAGAAAACTCGGCACGCAGCATTCGAACAACGAATATTGCGGTGACTCATGTCAGCAGACTGTCTTTTGTATGATGCATGATCAGCGTGACCCCGGCCTTAAGCTAAGATAACAAACTGAAGCAAAACTGCGGTTCGGAACAACATAGCTCTTAAATTGGCTTTTAATTGCTAACTTATTCTTATATGGTTTCTCCAGTTAAACGGCCGAGATAATAAAAGAATGGTAATAATAGAATGAACTTGCTCTTTCTGATCGTTGTACGTTGTAAGCATATGCAGCTTCCCGTGCTCGGGTGGGTTTTCATTCGGCCGGTACGTGAACATGCAAATTCGGGACGGGTCTTCTTCCAATGAGGAGTACACCAATTGAAGTGTACTGTACGAGAGTCCCTGAAAATATAAAACATATTCATTACTTCACGAATCAAAATCTATAAGAGAACACTCGGGATAAGCTCTAATAATGCTAGGAACTCATTTGCCAACATATTTCGAGCATGTGAAACGCATATACGAATTGTTTTATAGACGGCTCTCATCCAGAGGTCTAATTTACCCTCGGGAAATCTTGGTATCTTTGAAGCAGATGATGTCTTTCATCAAGTGGCGTCTGAAACACAGTAAAAGGTGCGAACGTAAAATTAATAAGTATTCTCATAGATGCTGGCAAAACGTTGCACGAAGCCGGTATGGGCCTCTGCTGTTCCTCTGCAGCACTATGCAGCTCTTAAAAAGCATTGCAAATGGACGAAGACAACCAAATGCTGCTCCGAAGGGTTCGCCTCTCAGTATCGAACACAAGCGTTTAGTGACGACATTGGTCTAGGCGTCGTATAATGACGATATATAGTTCTAATGGCGACGTGCGCGACCGAAAGCGTCGCTGTGGTCGGCCTTTCAAGATTGGCCGAACGCTGACTATGACGTCAGAAAAGGATTTATCATCGACGGAAATAAGAGGAATGAAAGAACTTTAATTTGACGGTGTTGGCAGCGTTCTTTCGAGAGCGCTATGATTTCAAGCTTCCATCATGCTGTTTACAAACACCATCGAACTTGTTGTTTGCAAGGTAATGACGTCACAAGGGGGGACCATAGGAGGGCGCCACCAATACGTCTCGCTTCTAATAGGTAGTATTGGCTGAATAGGTGCACGTTACCCCTTAATATTCTTGTTAGCACGTGTTTCTTTGTTTGAAGCACCCGTAAGTCGGTGAGGCGGTCACATCTTCATAACTCGATGTTAATTTTAACAATATGGAGGATTTAAAATTGGCGTGTGTATGTTTATACTACAGCGTTCTGTTTATACAGGAAATTAGTCCGTTTTGCCTTTGTGGGCGACTCGTCTCTCAGCTGTAGATGAGCAATGGACCTTTTGTAGAAACATTGGTTTGAGAGTAAATGGTTCTAGTACCCCCTCTCTTCCTTCTGGCCGAGCAGAGAGGGAAGATGGTTTCTTTGTGTCAAGTTCGGGGCAAAAGACAACCCACCATGAGGACAAAGGCGAGCTTCCTTGAATATACCAGCTGAATGTTGAGGAAAAGCGAAGGAGAGGAGAAAACAGACTCACACTGCTGGACTATTGCCGCGCGCGCAGCTGGCCAAGTAGGCAGCGCGTCCGTGGCCTAGCGGTTATCGCGCTTGCCTTCCCCGCAGAAGGCCAGGGTTCAATTCCCGGCCGCGGCTACACATTTTTGTTGACAGTGTAATTTGATGTTCCGGTGAATTCGAGAACCGTCTTGCTGATTCGAGGTCAGAATGTTCTACGAGCCGAACCTTCTACGCCGAACGATCCAGAAACCTACGAGGGTACATAAGGGATTCCGCAAGGCGAGCGGAGTCAGTTTCGCCCCAGCGTTCGACTGTGCTGCTACGCCGACTTCGACGGCTGCGACGCCCTGTTATTATCTTTGTACCCTGTTATTTTTGGCACAAGTTCGCCACATTAAACGTTTATTTCTTCCTCTTTATTTCCTGTTTTTTTGGTCACCACCCGTGACACTATACAACAGAAGAAGTTACCTTTACGGATAGTGTCCAGGAAAAGGAAGTTTTTTCATTAAAAGCTTGTTGATAGTCCAGCAGTGTGAGTGTTTTCTCCTCTCCTTCGCTTTTCCTCTATGTTCAGCTGGTATTCAAGGAAGCATGTCAAACCAACCAGCTCAGCGCCAGGCTGTAACAACAAAGGCGACTTTGGGCGAGACGTATCTAGGTCACGGCGGCTCAATGGGCGAACAGGATGTGGCTGACATTTTGGGTGTCGAATGGGTAGGAGAGGCCTTGTGCGCACATTGTTTTCTAGCTACTTTGTCTCAAACCCAGTGGCGTGTCCTAGGTGGCGGCGCATATCCGCCAAAAGGTCCATTCAGCCAGTGCAGTACAATCGCTAGCCTCGGGGTCTTTAACGTGCACCACGCAGTAGTGATACACGACCTCACGCAGGTACGATGCTCATCCAGATCGAAATGGGCTGAGGTGGGGATTGAACCCAGGGTAGTGGCGTAGCCTCCTCTATAGACGCTTTGCAGCAGCTGTGCATGGGCGCCGCCATAAGCGACCTTCAGGTATTGTTTCCTCTTATTCCGTTCGCTTCACGTCATCATTACCACAGCAGAACAGGATATTGCGACTTTAGGTGCTACTGCGTCCTTTTCCTCATCATAGACCTCTTTGGAGGCTCATAAACGCCCGCTTCGGTGGCTCGGCATCTCGTTAAAACAGGAGAAGGTCAGCTATGGCGGCTCAATCTGGCGCGTGTGCAAAGCGTCTATAGACAATTGCAAGCATGGCGCCACAAGTGGTGCCCCATGCGTGCAAGCCCGTGCAACGCGCGGGTGAACGTACCTTTGGCAAGCTCGTAATCGCACGGGCGTGCCTGCTCGAGCAGAGACATGGCGGCGGCCAGTCGCCCAGCTTGCAATCGTCTATACTCACTAAGCCTAGAAGTTCGATGGCGGAGCCATAGAGTGCCCAGTCGCAGATTCGGAGCGTGAGGATCTGGTAGCACAGAGCATTTCTGGAGGGTCTGTTATTGAGCGCACAGCTTTTGCAGCGGCGAGGACCCGAAACATGATTTTCAAACCCGCCGAGAAAAGGAGCGGTGCCCGAAGAACGCGAGAAGCACGAGCGGACATTCCATCGCTCGGGACCAGTGTGCTTCGGCGTCTCGCCGCAGCGGGGCGCCCGTTACATGCCTTTTGTAGGGTGCCTACATGTCTGTCTGTCTCAGGGTGAAGACATCCAATGTTGCCCTGAATGTGCCAGCGCGTGACGCTCTGGCGCACTCGGTGCGTGACTTCGGCGGTAAAATGGCGTCTATGCATTAGACAAAGCTACGTGCTCGAGCTGAGTGACACCAGATTACGCGCGCTTCAAGATGCATAAAAAAAAGATTGGGCGGAAAAAGGGTTGAGATGCCACCACTCAAAATTGGGTTGTGCGTATGTTTATACAGCCTAGAACTTGGTCTGCCTCACAGGGGCGACGAGTCTCCCAGCTGTAGATGAAAAACTTAGCCAGTGCGGTACAACCGCTAGCCTGGGGTCTTTAACGTGCATCACGCAGTAGTGATACACGACCGCACGCCGGTACGATGCTCATCCAGATCGAAACGGGCAGGGGTGGGGCTCAAACCCAGGATCCCTGGGTTCATGTCACCACTCAAGCAAAAGTGCGCGTGTGTATGAAGGCACTCTAGCCTTTTGTCTGCCGCTCTACTTTTTTACTTTCCACGGCCGCGTCTCGTGGCGATCTGCCAGGCTTTGTCAATATAGAGGATACTAGAGCCACTAAATGAGCTGCGCTTAGAGTATCGGCAATCCGCTCCCCGACATTGTTGTGGGCGCCGCCATTTTGGCTCGTATGCAGAGCAGACATAACTGCCGATCGTTCTGATTCATAAGGGAGACTTCCTCAGCATTAGAGTTGGTGTTAGGAAGGTCATCTAATATTGCTTTGCTCTGTTGCGAACTGTTTAAACATTTGTAAAGGGCGGAGATGCGTTTCCTGTGATTTCAGATAAAGCTTCAGATAAATGGCAACCATGATTTTAAGACACAATATGGCGAAGTGTCGTTACCCTGAAGCGTAGATTATTTAGTGGCACTAGAGGATACCATGGGCCTGGGTTCTGCAGCGCGAGGTTTCGCTCCACGTGCTCTGAGATGGGGTGCGCTAGCCCGGTAGACCAACGATCCCCCTAATAGAGGCCTATTGCTGTATTACCCGAGCATTAAGGAGGATGCAGGGACCGGTGTTCCACGCGCCGCACGTGCTGGCCTCAGCAGTAGTAACATTTCGAAAGCAAATACCTGAAACAAAGGGGATCTTGCACGCGCGTTCGTCAACGCTTTACTTTGGTTATTTGCTTCGAATCTTTTATACGGGGAAGGCGTGCCCGTATGGCGTGTGGAACACCAATCCCTGCATGCTCCTTGATGCTTGGGTAATATTGCAACAGGTCTATTAGGAATATCGCACATGTTGCTGTACGCTCTTTGTCGTTGACGTTCTCTATTTGTTCAGACCAAGGACGTAATCGACAACAAAAATGTCCTCAAAATTATAAACTGGCTTCCCCCAATTATGTTCAAAATACGTACTATTTCTTGTTTGCTTTATTTTAATATGTTTCTAGAGCCCCACTCACTAGTTAAAGTGAACGCAATGCAAATTAAAAAATGGCTAGAAATGCTATCCTTTAAACAAAAAAATTAAAAGTGCGGCCGACACCCACGTTATTAGAGTTTTAGTACTGCATATAGGACCAACCGCAAGGACGGTGCGTTTGGGTTTGTGTTGCGTGCGCCACGCTGCGACTGCGCGTCGTCACCAAGTGCCAATTTACGATGCAGTTGGTGCCCCCGCGCACGCGCAGTCTGGAACACGCAACGCCAACGCAAACACCCATGGCTTGCGTTTACTCGTATAAACAATTCTAAAACTTCCTATTTACAACTCTTTATTGCGGGATAAAATATTGGTGGTTTTATTTATCCGGAACCCTTAAAACCGTGTCTTCAACATACAAAACCCAAATTACAAGCTGAAATCAAATCTGGAATGTTCGTTACTATGACGCTGGTTATTCACCCAATGTAATTTTCATAGCGATCGTCTAGCAAAATATCAATAGTTAAAGAGAGCCACTTACGTCATCAGAGGAGCTTTGTGCGGTGGCTTCATCGACTACCTTTGGAGCACTGTTGGGAGGCTCAGGAGCCTCAGGAGCCGTATAAACCTAAAATTATAAAAAATGGAGGAGTATATTTAGGACTGCTCATGTGTAGGCATGTCAAAACACTCCCACATGCAGCGAATTGCTACAAGCTACAAGCTACAAGGGGCTGCAGAGCGCGCGCCAACCTGTCTTTAGTTGTCCGTTTTTCGCGCTCATAAACAACGCCGGCTGCGCTCCATGGGCGTCGCATCAGTGGCTCGTTTTTCGTTTTCGCCGTCTCGGACAAACACTCGGGGGGGGCTCCATGGGACAGTTAATGCTTCCGCATTAAAAAGGAATGCATGCAGTCAGAAATGCTGCGAACTATGGGGAGCGCGCTTCCCCTTAAAGAACACATGGAAAAAAAAAAAGAAACCTTTCTTTTTTTGAGCAACCTAAATGGAAAAAGAATGTAAGAAAATTAACTTACAACGAAAAAAAAACAGGGCTATATTTACGCCGCAAAACGAATTTGTATTTAGGGCACGCGGTAGACGGTGCGCCGCAGTGTTGCATCGCCGCCGCCGGTTCAACGCTTTTCTCCACGACGCCGCCGCCGTTGCCGCCGGAAGCGAGCACTTCAGCGCGCCTCCGCCGTCAATTTCTGACCGGTACACAGGTCTGTAACGTCTGTTGGCGCATTTTCAGGAGCTTCCTTTGAACCCTCAAATTTACTTATTAATCTTCGTTTTTTGTTGCACTTCAAACGGAGATGAAGAAGTAACTTTTAAAGACCAGAGGCAGCTTCCGAAAGAGCACAAGCGCCACCTGACAAATACTGGCCAGTCACTTGATAAATAGCGGACACTTTTCCGCGGCGCCCGCGGGCGCCAGATACAAATTTGTTTCGCTCTACAAAAATTAAAGCCGTTTACAACTCCCTGTAACGCCGATTTAGAGCGCAGCTCTTGAGGAGGAGGAGGGGAAGGGTACTGAGGGGAAGGTATATCCTTCCTCCCTCCTCCTCGCCTCCTCATCCTGTCTGTTACTCCTCCCTCCAAGCGGCGTCGCCGTCGCCGTCGGCGTAACCATGAGGTCACGTGACCCTCGCGACCTCACGGGGGTCACGTGACGTAACCGGGGTCACGTGACTTCACGCGCGTTACGTGACCTCACGAGGGTCACGTGTACTCACGGTTACGCCGACGGGAACGCCGACGGCGACGCCGCTCAAGCCGGAAACGGGCACCTAGGAGCTGCGCTCTGAAATTTTCTTTTTCGTTGTAAATTCGTTTTATAACTTCCTTTTCCCATCCAGGCTGTTTAAAATCATGTTTTTTTTTCCTTTGCATGCGTCCTTTAAGGAGGTGTAGTACTCCGCCATGGCAGCTCCATGCTAGTCCCACAAACGGCGGAGTCTCCATGACGCCCTGTAGGACGCAGCGCCGGCTCCATGCAATCTAATTTGCTCGCCGCGACCGCGTCCTCGCACAGACGTTTTCTTTGATCTTGCCACGGAATCGGTTGCATAGCTAGGCATTTTTCCAAAAGAGGGGTGGGGGGGGGGGGGGGGATTTAGGTGGTTTGAATGTCTACGAATTGAGGTGCGGAAAGGGGGGGGGGGGGTTGTAAATATGTGTAAATATTGCCAGGTCGACTGTATTTGAAGGGGGGGGGGGGGGGGGGGGTGAAGCCCCATTAGTTCCTCCCCTGGCTACGCTATTGCACGGGGTGAAGGGTTCCTTCCTTGACATTCGAAAGCCAGCCCGCGGCCACCGCGTTGACCTCTATGTGTTCTCAAGTGCTATTTCATCCTCAGGACTAGCAAGAAGCTCGGAATCGATCGTGAAACCACTTATGACGGTAACACGTACACCGCATTGTTTTTCGTTCATCTATGTTGAAAGACACTTTAACATAGCGCTTCAGTTTTTGACGGGCCTGAAAATGCAGTGGCACGACATTCATGAGTGCCAATGATTGATAGAACTTCATAATAAGTATTTTTGCTTCCTCTTTTTATCAGATTGCTCATCGCTCTCTCTCGCTTTGAGTAAGCTTATTAGGAATCAGATGATCGCGACCGTTTTCGCCAGCGTATGGAGAGTATTTTTGTTTTCGATTTTTATCTAGAATTTGAAAGATGTTAGGACGCACCGTGACCTGGGATGTTTTATAAAGCGGGGTACTGAGGTAAGTTTACTTTAAGCTACGGCCGGCTGCTACACACGATGCAATCCTATGCGAAATGCTTCTGGTAGGAGCTGCACCATGGCGCGGTTGTCTTGCCACACGTTTTATTACACAATGTTGAAGAATTGCGTGAAGCACTTCATTAAAAATATTTAGGAAGCTGCGGAGTAAACCAAAACCCGCAAAGTAAAAAACAAAATATTGAATAACACATATCTTATATTAAACGAGCTTAGCTCAAAAAAATAAAATACCACATTACTTTTACCCTTAAAGAACTCGCAAACAAAAGGTGGATTTTAAGGTGTTAGAAATGGTTCATCTGGCCTATTTGAACCATTCGCAGTGATTTGTAATGCTCGAAAAATGTTCTTATGTTATAATTGCTTTAATGTCTGCCGTTTTATTACAAAAAGAGGACAACTATAGTTGGTGACTGGTTAAGAGTTCACGAATCTCCTTCCTTTTATTTCCACTTTAGTACAGCGAACGCTTGAGATGAGGTGACCTTCTCTTTAGTGCTCACTTTGATAAAGTGGGAAGATGTGGGACGAACTCCCCATGGAGGTTTACCCTGTCACCAAGTATAGCTTAACACAGTTTAGGACAACTCCAACGGAACAACTACTAATATTTTGGTTTTTACTGTAGATGCTGAAATTGAATCAAATTTAAAAATCAAGCGCCATGGTAGTTTTGCCATCTAAGGGACGCGACTTGAGATTCAGAAGGCGGAATGCGACATCACCGCAACTGCGGCCATTTAGGGTGTGCTGCGTGAGACGCATATGTGGAGCTAGGGTGACCACCCGTCCCGCGACTCGCGGGACTGTCCCGCATTGAGGGCTCGTGTCCCACGTCCCGCAAGAAATTCCCAAATCTTCAAAATATCCCGCATTTCACATTGTTGTAGCATTCGACCACGGAAATTATGGCGCTTCCGAAGAACGGGCCACGGGGTAGCACTGAGGTCGCTGATAAACGAGTGAATCTCGGTGGTATGCCATTTTCTATACAAGCACTGCTGGAAGCGACTGTCGTTCTTGCAGGAGTGTAGCGCGTATGTGCCGTTGTGCCTCTACCGTTGATGGCCAAATATCGCGAGCAAAAATTTCTCGCCAAAAGTTAAAAAATAAACTATTGTAATTATTTGCAAATCATACTGTGTCATGCGAAAGGGTTGCTATAGAAAGTTATCTTTTAGTGCAGACGGTCACTCAAGCCAAAAAAACCTGCAAGTCACAAGGGTCGTAAAAACAACAACATAAGGTTCTAATTTGGTGCAAGAGCATGTTAGTATGAGAGTAAGTATCGACAGGCAACAATAAGTTGAAAAAGATTTACTGTTTCTTATTTCCCTTTCATGCATTGGGGTCTGCTGTAGTCGATTGATGTTTTCAACTTAGGCACTCATAATAAAATATTTATCATTACAATTACACAAAAATATATCACTGTGAGTGAAAATTATTCCAGCGTAATTGCCGCCACACAATTTTCAGGTGTATAATATGCTTTTGGAGTGCGCAGGATAGCGGGGTGCGCGTGATGGTGAATTTGTTTTAATACTTTTTTTTGAGTCATGAAAATACCGTACTACTCTTACCCCAATACCGTACTACTCTTACCTTTTACCCCTGTGCTGACGAAGGAATTATGGCTCGAGGAATAGCTAAGGTAAGACCTGCAGTGCACAAAGTGCGTTAAGTAACTGGGCAGCGGTTGATTCCGTTTAACATCACAGTGCTGACGACGAGAAGACTGAGTGACTGCTTTTTAAACGCAAGCTTTTTTTACCTGTGTGGGAAGCTGGCTTCGGAAATAAATACAGTTCGCGGAAAGCTCGTGTAACGTTTTTATTTTCCGCCCCTCTCGCCCTGTACAATAGACGTAGCGTCCTCGTTAAGCCTTATTGAGCTCGATTTGGTGGGTTCGGGGCCCTCATAATGAGATGCAGACGACAGAGGAACTTACCATTCCTGCTTTCAAGGACGAACGTTTTTCCACTTCTGAGGAAACACAGGTTACAAGAGCGTTTCTAACTTTAGGGAGTACTATATACACCCTTTTTTCTAAGAGTGTACAACAATTACATCTCTTTGAAGGGGGGAAGAGCCCCTCCGAACTTTTGCTTTAAAAAGTGCTGCTCTATTCCATTATGCCTATGAGGGCCACTATGGTACATGTACGGTCGCGTGGAAGCGTCCAATAATGTCGCAGCCATATGCGGGTACGTCGGCAATTACACTATTGAAAGTTCTCTCCTAAAAGTGAAACCGCGCGAACCCCGGCCGGTGCTGCCGTCCGTGATGCCTTTAGGGAACTATGGTTGTTTTATTTGTTCAGCGTTTATCCCTGTTGGAGCTTTCAAAGTTTTGAATTAGAGTCATAGTGCACGTGATACGTTCGAGGGGGCCGATTCGCGTCTTCGCAGCTCTAGAAGTAGTGACAATCAGAACGCCGGCGCTTCTAATTCAGACACTTCGAACGCTTTTCAGAATTAAATTCAGATGATGAGATCGTATTCGCTGCTCGTGGAAAAGTTGTGCAAAAGTACCTCAGGTTTGAAGTCTGAGACGGCCAAAATATAATGGAAGAGGACGAACTGACGCACCAAAATTATACAAAATGAAAAAAGTGACAATTTTTCACTCTCTATATTTAAGTGTAATTCTTTCCAAATGGGAAAGCTTGAATACACTGAATGTTTTGCCGTAAGATAATTAATTTTATAAATCTCTACATTAAATTCTTCTCTCCAATATCTATAAAAATTGAAAAAAAGTAAATGGGTTATTTACTGTAGAAAATGACTCCCTTCTTTTACTGCTACCAGAGCATACGTAACCCGCATGGATTTACAATTCTTGCATCTCTGCTAACGCCCGGCGAGCTCAGTGCTTTCGGTCTGCTTGAGTGCTGCTCCGCTTTCGCGCCTAGTATTCCCGAATCGATTTGCTGCACAGTTCTGCTCAAAGTCATTTTTTGCATCTAACGTTTAGCGGGAAAGTACCTTCACGCTAGATTTAGCGAAAAAATTGGATTGGTGAATGATTATACACCAAATCGGATTTTTCTCCTAAATTGAGCCATCAGCCGCGACTGTCGGACGCACACGATTTTCCGGCTTGGTAGTCCTAGAAATACTATCGCATTGACGTAGTGTGTATGTGCAGTTTCCTTCAGAACAAAGAGAGATCTAAACACGGCGAACTACAGCAGAATCGCAAGACAAGAGAAAGTGTCATGTCCTGTTCATTGTCCCTGCTCACATCGCCTTCCTTGGTCTAGAGCAGATACGGCAGTCATGACATTACTGTAATAAAATTACAGTAATTCAATTTCTTTTCGCTGTAATGAGTAATATAGTTGATTACTTTTCTATGTTGGGAATTGGGTCATGTAATGAATTACTTTCAGGCAGTAGTTTTGATCAATTTACTCATTACATTTGAAGTTAATCTTCTACATAATGAGCCAGTGCCTGCTTGCAAGCTCTAAGGGTAGGGTAAAAGAAAAAAAAGTGTTTTAGAAGAATCATTGTCGTGAAAAACTAATAGAGAGAGCGGAACATCAAAGAAAATTAAGCGAAGGCCCATCTGAGCTAAAAGCCTCATTACCTTGAACGCAAAAGACGCACAAATGTGGAGTCAAAAGGCGAAGCGGATGTAGAAAACTCTCCTGTGAAGATATTGCTGGGAGACCCCGACTGACAAAACTCCGGACATGGCGGATTAATGGCGCCACGTCACCAGAACGGCAACATGCAGGAATGGCTACGTTTACATGGATACGACCGTGGCGCATCGAATCGAGAGGTGACCAGTCACGCGCCCCCGATCCTTTTTAGAGCGCAGCTCTTAGGGGCCCGTTCCCGGCTTTAGCGGCGTCGGCGTCGCCGTTGGCGTCGGCGTAACCAAGGTCATCCCAAGGTCACGTGACCCCCAAGTTCATCCCAAGGTCACGTGACCCCCAAGGTCACCCCAAGGTCACGTGACCCCCAAGGTCACGTGGCACCCAAAGTCACGTGACCCCCCTGAAGTCACGTGACCCCCCCCCCGAGGTCACGTGACACCCCCCGGTCACGTGACACCCCCAGGTCACGTGACCATCCCCAGGGTCACGTGACGTCCCCGATGACGTCATCGTCACTGATGACGTCACCGGCATCCGCATCGTCATCGTCATCATCACTGATGACGTCATCAGTGACGTCACTGATGACGTCATCAGTGATGATGACGATGCGGATGCCGGTGAGATCATCAGTGACGTCACTGATGACGTCATCAGTGATGATGACGATGACGATGCGGATGCCGGTGACGTTGTCAGTGACGTCACTGATGACGTCATCAGTGATGATGACGATGCGGATGCCGGTGAGGTCGTCAGTGACGTCACTGATGACGTCATCAGTGATGATGACGATGACGATGCGGATGCCGGTGACGTCATCAGTGACGATGACGTCATCGGGGAGGTCACTTGACCTCGGCGGGGGTCACGTGACCCTGGGGGTGGTCACGTGACCTGGGGGTGTCACGTGACTTCGGGGGGCATCCGCATTGTCATCGTCATCATCACAGATGACGTCATCAGTGACGTCACTGATGACGTCACCGACATCCGCATCGTCATCGTCATCATCGCTGATGACGTCATCGGAGTCCGCATCGTCATCGTCACTGATGACGTCATCAGTGACGTCACTGATGACATCATCGGCATCGTCACGTGACCCCCCAAGGTCATGTGACCCCCCTCAGGTCACTTCACCCCCCAGTACCCTTCCCTCCTCCTCAAGAGCTGCGCTCTAATTCGGTGTTACAGGGAGTTGTAAACGGCTTTCACTTTTTTTCCCTTCCTCGTCTGCCCAATCATAGGCGGCAAATCTCGATTGTAAGCTCAGTCAATATCGAGCCAAACCATGTATGCTCAGCCGATATTGAGGGTATAACACCAGTAAGGTCAACAGACTTTAAAACTGGAGACAACAGTACACGCAGATCTCCAACACTTTTGTTCTTTAGTCAAGCCAAATCAAGCCGTCAATCTTCGATCATTGCGACCTGAACAACAAATTGAGATTACCAAAGCCAATAGGTAATCTCAAAGTCTTGTCCGGGATCAAAAACATTTCATGCGTGACCTTGGCCTTGGCAAGTAAGTACGCTTTTGTAGTCCTAAAAACGGAAAAAAAAAGAAGATGGCACCTCGGCCTTCTTCTTGTTTTTTTCTTTTTTGTTTTTCTTTCAAGAAGAAGGCGCCTCTGTTTTTTTCTCGGGATGTTTAGTCAGGAATGAGCAAACGCGAACATATCGCCGCCACTTTGTTTCCTAAGTACACAGTTTAGAAAGCTCCCGCCACCCATTTCCTTCCCTGGTGGCGTTTCTGCTCAGTAAAAATTCGCCCCTTTTGAGTGAAAATCCTTTTGAGTAAAAACCCAACACTGAGAACTTCTCTGTGTTTGGAACAATACTGATTGATAGGAATCCCCAGGATTGCATGGACTAATACTGTTAAAAAAAAACGATTAGATTGCGTCCTTGACAAAGGAAAACGTTCCACATGATTTATCGTGAGAACGAACTTTAATGGCCCGTCTTAAGTGACTGACAGTGACTATAACTTCTCCAAAATAAGAAAGACGGAATCACATCAGCCTTTAACTCTAGACCTTTACCGTTGTATGAACAGCGAAACCGGTGTGCCGGCTGTTCAAGAGTTAAATAAAAATAAGCTATTGAATATGTTTAACATTAACATCGTGTGCGTCAGCGGGGTGGCTGTTCAGTATGGCTCACGATGAAGCGTATGCAGTGCAAACAGGGAGACCCAAGTTCTCGTATACCGTGAAGAGGTGTACACAAACTACTGCGTGAAGGAATTAAAAAGTAATGTAAAAGTATTTGCATTACTTTTGAAAAGTAATTGTAATGTTATGCCCTTACTGATGTAATTGTGAATGTATTAATTACATTTTTGCGTATTTTAAGAAAGTAATTAGTAATTGAATTTAAATACGTTTTGAAAGTAATTTCGCTATCCCTGGTATAGAGCTATTCTCAGCTTCGTCATTGGCTGCAATTGTGCGATTGCTTGCAGTGGTTAGCTTTCTTCGTGTTCTGTAGGAAAGTGCACTTAGAGATTTTCTCCATCTGGAAATAGTAATTAAGGTATTTAATTTGTTCGGTATTTTGAACTAGAATTTCTTTACTAACTTTTTAAAGTTGATATATTCCTATTACCTCTTCGTATTCAAGGCACTGAAGGTCTTTGGAAACTTCGTAGTTTTCAAATTTACAATTGACCAGTTCTTTTTGTGGCACACATTGGTTTGCCCTGGATATGTCACTGCTTGTAGGTACAACTATGATAAAGCACTCTGAAAATAAAGAGAAGGGTTTATTGTTTTGTCATATTCATTATTTTATTGCTAAAAAAAAGCAATTTTGGGTGCTAGAACTAGTTTCCTAGTGCAATCTGTTTTAAACATGGACAGGTTTCAATACAACTATATATGTTATTGCGATTTTTTTACTCTTTTCTATGCTATATGTGGCAGTTGATAAATAAAATATGAACGAAGTTTCAAGAAATTTGGACATTGATCACTTTTAACACCAAGCAAGATATCATGGGGGTCATCTTGTTGACGAATTTTTTTTTACGTTTTGCAAAGCGCAAAGAGAAAAGACTGCGCATAATCCGAGCTAAATAGGCTAACTGCCTGTTATAGTTTACTAATACCCTGCATACAAAGATCGCGCCTTCTTCTTTGAGACATCAAGAAATCCAGACAGGCAGCCTTCACGAAATTAACAGCATTCCATTAATCAATGGCGTTGTTTTATATCATTCATTTAGATTTCAAGGCTGAGAATTCACATTACAAATTGAAGAGTCCGCGAATCAATCCTAAATTTTAAGCAAACCAGAGCTCTCGAAAAATCCGGTTGATAATATTCCCAGGCCAGGCGTAAAAACTAATTCTCGTTTCGATGCCCTAACATTAACGAAAAACATTGCGACACGGAACTTTATTTTTTTTTTCATCTCAGTAACGAGCGCTTGTAACAGTCTTTGGAGGCTTTTTTTTTTTTTTTATTAAGAATAAACTTACGCGTAATTGTAACTGTGTTTTGGGAGCGCGGGAAGATTGAGTTAACCTCATGAAAGCCGATCTTAAAATCGACTTCTGTGTCGCTTTCAGTTTTTTGTTCCCCGGAGTTCTTGCACTAGCTTAGATATGTAGCAAAACAATTCAACAACAACTTTGAGGCATGCGTATTGGTGCAAGCAGAAAATAGTGAGTTTTGCATTGCGATTTACAATATACGTCAGCACTTCCCGAGGGCTGTAATCAAGAAATGTTAAAGCGAGTAATGTCTAATAATAGGACGCTTAATAATCAAATATAGCTCTCGTTGTGTGATAAAAGTGCACAAGAAACTTGTTTGTAGAACGAACGAACCCAGCACATATTGCGAAGGATTAAGGATTATTGTTGTTTGGAGCACAAACAGTATGGCAGCTGTTTCAATTAATGATTCATAATCAACCGTTTTATCAAATTGGTCATCAGCTGTCTACTTGCAATGTGCATTCATAAAAAATAAACAGTGCAATCTTATAGATAAATTAATTAAATCAGTTTTACAAACACACCAAAAATTAGTTATAATATTTAGAAATTATACGACCCGAGCTAATGTAGAATATCTGGATTGATCTGGCACGCCCCAGCGGAGGACTAGATTAATTACGACCCCTTTAGGTTCTTCGATATTCAACCGAAATCCCCGTTACACGGCACCTTCTCGGTAATAAGCCTCCATCAGACTCCTGGCACCGCGGCCGGTATTTGAAATCGGTGCCTGGAAATCCCTAGGCCGGCGCTTTGCCTCGGAGTTACCGAAGATTATGAACACCACTCTCAAGGTATAACGTTTTTTTTTTTTTTTTTTTTTTTTTTTTTTGCAAAAGCATGTTAAGTAAAATCGTCAGAATATACAACCTTTTAAAATTTTACTTACCATCGTTCAATGACGCCTTCAAGATGTAACAAGAATTATATCTAAAAGCTCGGAATTTAGCTTGCTTGAAGATATGACCTGCGGAGATACATGCGTTCAATCAGTCATTGATCACATTACAAAAGGAAACCGGTATAAGCCCAAGTTGAAAGACTGTAGCTCTCTTGCTTAACATGAGTTTCGCTGGGTGTCTGTAAGAGTCAATTTCTTCCTCGAATTTCGACTTTTTGGGAGCTTTCTTTTGTCTTGCAAAACATATAAATTGTTTCGCATGTTTAGACTTATCACCTTTGGTAGGAAACAGCACTACGCGAATTCATTGAAATTGTCTTTTAGCAGACAACACTGTGAGAGCTCAGCCTTTCTTCAGACTAATACATTTCTCAGAAATGAGAATACAACTAATAACCTGTCTCGAGACGCGGTTTTTTTCAGCTGGGGATGTTCGCAATGGAATTTTTGTATTCAGCAATAAGCAGAGTACTTTTTCACTAACGTTGCCACTGTGGCCGTGGAAACACTTACATGCAATAAACGCTATATTGTGGGCAGTGATAAGGTAGGGCCCTCGAGTCAAGTGCATCGCCCGTCTTCATCAGAAGGGAGCCTTCAATTCCTTCCCATCAAAGAAGGTAAAGTTATCAACCTCCTATACTCCGCTTCACCGTACGTTATATTGTGCGTAAAAGTACGAGCGGGAACGCCAGAGCGAAATTAAAAGTAACGCTAAAGACGAGGACAAGTGGAAGACACAGACACGGACAGGCACTGCCCGTGTCTGTCTAGCCCGTCACATGATCCTAGAACGCCAGAGCGCGTGACCTTCGGTGTATGTTGCGCTACCTTGAGGCTGAGAAAACGGCGTAATGGAGAGTGGCCTGTGAGGGTGTGCAGGTGAGAGTAAGCGCACACTCTCGCAGCCCCTTCTCCACCCCACCATTTTAAGTTTTATAAGCCTCGAGGGTTGCGCAGCAGGTATCAAAGGCCAGGCACTTTAATGTTCCCGCTCATACTGTTGTCGATAGCACGTCAATGCACGCTACGAGCCATGTTAGCCAATCCAGCACCCTAAGTCAGCCTTGTGACTTTAAGGTAAGCGCATCGCCCCACCCAATCGGAATGTCACCTGATAGGCTCTAAGGTATACGAATTGTCTCCCGTGATCCGTATCATCAAGTGCGGCTCATTGTAAACTAAAACTGTTAGTATAGCAAGAAGCGTTGGTACAGGCTATCACTGTTATGAACTTAGATGCGGCGATAGAACATGCGCATAAATGCTGTTTCTACTCCAACGTCGACGTACGCAACGCGCACCGGCGCAGACCGACGTTCGTCAGTCACTATATACGACCCGTCACTCCGCGCCGGGGTGACCTGGCCCGACCAACTGTCCCACTTTGCGCATGCGCGTCTCCGTGACAACCGCGTCCTCTCTATATCGTATTTCCGCTTCCTTATTAGTATCAATTAATGAGCATGGTGACAAACTGCGCACAAAAAACAAAAAAATAAGTGTGAGGATACAGACAGGACGAGCCCTGACTCGCAGCTTATTATACAGAACTCGGAAGGAAGAAAGGATATGATCGTCTTTCTTTCTTTCCCGGCTTCTTTTCTTCCTTTCTTCTAAGTTTTATATATTGAATTGCGAGTGAGCGCTTGTCCTATTTGTTTTCTTCTAAAGTGTTTTTTTTTATCTCTTGTGCGCTGTTTGTCAACATGTTCAATGCATATCAAGTTGTTCAATTCACCACCCTGCCAATCATGCAATTGGCCGACGTGGTTCATCAGTGTCGTGTAGTCAAGTTTCATAACAGCGAATCGGTGCATTGGTTAGCGATTGGAGAACAAGCAAATGATTAGGAAAAGGAGCGCAAACCAGCATTTGTTTTCTCCAAACTCTCACAAAAATGTCGACAAAAAACAAAATATCACAATATTGCGTTCGTCGAAGCTGCACTCCTGAAAAAAGCCAGTAGAAAGGTAGTAACTGCAGCAGTTACTGCCTTTTTCTTACCGTTGCTACCTTACACTAGCTATTAGCTACCTCAAGCGCGCGATAGCTAGTAAATCGATGGTAAATCCAGTGGTTACTACTTTTTCCTGACCGTTAATAACTTTTTACTAGCTATATACAACCCCAAACACGCGGACAAGATGACGGCATCTGCTGCATCGCCGATGGCCAGCGTTTGCGACGTAGTTACTGCTTCGGAACACTTGGGGAGGTATCCACAAACAATCATAGCATCAAATATTGTAGGAGGGGGCATGCTTAAGAATTGGAGCTGACTTTATAACGATCGCAATTTCTGTTTCAGCACGTCTTGGAAGCCAGCGCTGCCGCTAGCGCAGCCATTACTGATGCAATGGCCATACGGCTTCGAGTTTAGCTTCCTGTTTGCATTCTTTTGAAAACGGTTATGTTTTCATTCTGGTTTTAACTGGAACGAAAATGAACAGGTAGCAGGTGCGAAAAACGTTTCCAAAGAAAATAAAGGTTCATCTGTTTTTGTTTTTAATATTGTATTCTTTAAAATATGTGTTTCTCTTTCGCAAGAGACGATTGGCAACATTAAAAGACAAGCACATTGTGTTACGTTACAATCGCCATCGTTATCGTAACCTCAAACGGAACGTCTTTGTTGTCAATGGAAGATGACGTGTTCTCCGGAGCTCCTACAAAGCTTGTGATTTTTGGTATTATTAGTTTAGTAGCGTGCGTGTTTATGGGATTCTAGAAAGCAGTTTTTAAACTAACGTTATGATCATGGGGTTGGATTTAAAGTAAACGTTTTAGGTAGGGTCACGAAACCAAACCACGTGCACGTTTGCATTCTTTTTTTTTTTTGGCGGGCTAGTTGGTTGTGTGGGCAGAGACCACGGTGGAAGAAACATTTAGGTGATGACTCTCTGTCCGACGCGGCGGCCACATCATGTTCGGCGCACCGAGCGCGCTTTACTCGCACGGGGATAGATGGAGCCCAAGTATGGCGTCCCTCCCAAACCGACTGTTCCGGTTGTTTCCCCCAGTGGTGGTCCCGGATTCCCTCGCTCACTGCTTCTTATTGTACCCACGGTAGAAGAAACGCATTTAGGTGATGACTCTCTGTCCGACGCGGCGGCAACATTACGTTCGGCGCACCGAGCGCGCTTCAATCGCACGGGCAGAGTTGTGCCCGTTACTTGAAAAATGTAATGGATTACAATTAAAAATGAATAAGCCTCAAATGTAATGGATTACAGTTACAAATTATTTTCGCTGAAAAGTAACGGATTATTTTACGCGTTACGTTAGAAATTACTTTCACGTTATTTTTTTTTTCGTACATCTATAAGGAGAACAATAGAAACAATTTTGTTGTTTTAAAAATATTCTGCAACACTACTCTCCATTTCTCATATGCCCGCATTATGGCAGTCCTTGTACAAATAAAATATTGTATTTAAGAGAAAGAGTGTAGGTGTACTTGGTTTACCTGTAAGTTGACAAGGCAGCGAAAGCTGCAACTTCACCCGCCATGCCGCTAGCTTAGGGCAAACGGAAATGATCCCTGGATTTCTGCAGACAAAGCTAGCGGTGCTCAAGTTCAGTATCAGCGATTGCCTCCGCTGGGAGATTAAGAAGACAACGCCTCCTCCGCGTTTTCTTCTTCATTTTTGTTTTTCGATATTCCTTCCACATTTTTGTGGTGGTTCTAATGACCGGACGTTCGAAATATCGTATTTTCTTTTCGGCTATTCTCCTCTTCCCGAGGTTTTCTATTCTGTTGAACTTGCTATCTTTCTGCTACTTAATTGCCTGCTCATATTGCTTCAGTTTCTGTATTATGTTCATTTTTGTAAAAAAAAAAGTAACGAGTAATAAAGAAATTCGTTACCAATATGTGTGATAAATTTAGATTAAAAATTACTGCCACAAAAAGTAACGTGGCAATTACAAGATTGCCTAAAAAAGTAATGAATTACAAGTAATTTGTTACGTGTAACGGATTACTTCCCAAGTCCACGCACGGGGATAGGTGGCGCCCAAGTATCGGGTCCCTCCCAAACCGACCGCTCCGGTTGTTTCTTCTAGCGGTGGTCCCGCATTCCCTCGCCCACCGCTTCTTCTTGTACCTCAACGCCGCCACGCCGCCACCAAGTCGCCGTAGTCCGTAAATCTGTGTTCTCTTCCTTCTTCCTCTTCTTCGGGTTGAAGCTCACCTTCGTGCACAATGGTGGCAGCAGTGATCGACACAGCACCAAAGCAAAACACGAGGCAAGCCACTGACCGCACACCACCACCACACCACGAAAAAGGCGAGCACGCTACGCCGCCGAGGAGGGGCCTCATACCCACGATGCTCACACCTCAGCGCCCTCAGCGACGGCGCGGAAGTAACTACTCCTGGTTCGAGGCTCGCTCCGAACACGATCTTGTCGCTCGCTCCCCGCGGGAAGAGCGGCCAGAGCCATCACCTTAAAGGGGTACTCCGCCGATTTCTTCATGGTCCCCGATTTGCTTGAAATTTTGCTAAACTCGCCAAACAACATCGCCAAAATAGTATCCCGAATATTAGGTCAAAATAAGTTATTGAATTTACAATTTTGGTCCTCACCGTGTTTTTCAAACTGAAAGTCTCTACTGGCAACAATGAAAAAGTGACGTCATTGGAAGTGCAGAGGTTCACTCTTTGGACTGTAGAATTTGTTCCCAACTGATTTGAAGCATTTTCATGGTGTCAAATGAATGCATTAGAAGCTCGCTCCAGTCCCCGCGCTCCAGCACGGAACAAATGATTGGCATATTCTATTTTTTAGACTGCTCGCCCGACTGGCAAGCTGAACTTCCACTGACGTCACGGCCCTGAAAAGGGCGGGTATATTTGAATGTCTGTTTTTGCATCATTTTCATTTGCCGATTTCGCAATAACTATTATGAATTTCACGATACTAAATAGCATACCAGAAAGGGTAAAGGCCTGGGAGTCAGAAAATATAGTTAGTTAAGGTAGCTCAAAAATCGGCGGAGTACCCCTTTAAAAGGGCTCACTCCTCCTCCTCTAGTTCAAGGCCACTCAAGGCAGGACCTAC